TTGCTCTGGCAACACTCGCGGTTCTGGAAGAACTGCAGCTTTGTCTCCAGCAGCTTGTTCTGCTGCTCCAGGAAGCGCACCTGCCATTCAGGGTGGGAAGGAGGGGCAGATGGTTTCTGGTGCCCCCAAAGACAGCTCTGGGGACCTGGTGGAGGAGGGATACTTTAAGGGAAATCCCCAAATCTGGAGCTTATCTGCGATTGAGTAGAGGTGAGCAGTGGAAGACAGAGTTTCTGGGTTTCCTGGTCATGATCTGTGCCTAGATTTCCCACTCAGGAATGGAGCAAGGGCTGGGTGGTGTCAGTGCCTGCTCTCTGGGGAGCTGAGTGACCCCAAGCAGATGAACACAGTGGAGGCTCAGCTCCTCACTCTGAAGCCAGGTGAGGCAGCATCCCTCACAGGCAGAGTACCCAGGTTCGGATCTCAGATGGGATTTCTGGGGATGGTGCCAAGTAGAGGGTGTCTAAATTGAATCACCATCTGGAAGGGAGCTCAGGTGTTCCAGCTCTTCCCCTATGTCATCTGGAAGTCAGTGCACCCTACTTTCTCACCCTGGGGCTGCCCAAACCCCTCTGAGTTCAGCAGCAGCGGTCACATGTCCCCCACCTCCAAATCCCTGATGTCTAGCTTGTGTCCCAGAGCAGCCTGGCCACACTTTTCCTTCACAAGCTCCCTGTATCTGAACTGTCAGCTGAGTCTGCGTCTTGAGTGCCTGTGTGTGTCTCTGTGTGTGTGTGTGTGTGTGTCTGTCTGTGTGTCTGTGTGCCTCTCCCATCAGACTGGGATCTCAGGCAGTCAGAGGTCTTTATGTCTCTGACTCCATCCTCAGTGCCCAGCCTTGGCTGTGTAGGTGGTGGGAGTTCAGGAAAGGTGTGATCCAAGACACTCACCTTGTCGATGAAGGCCGCGAACCTACTGTTGAGGCACTTAATCTGCTCCTTCTCCTCCTGCTTCACACACTGCGCGTTGGGGTCGATCTCCAGGTTGAGGGGCGTGAGGAGGCTCTCGTTGACCGACACGGTGGTGATGCATGGGGGGCTGGGCCCGCACACGCCCCCAGAGCGGTAGCCGAAGCTGCGTCCACAGGAGCCGGCCCTATAGCCTCCGCACACGCTGTGGCTGCCAAAGCCCCCAGTGAGGCCGCGGTAGCAGGAGATGCCACGGTAGGGGGCGGCGGTGATGCAGCAGCGGCCAGGCCGGGGCCCGCAGGCCGAGATGCAGCTGAAGGCGCGGCCACCAAACCCTGATCCGCAGGTCATGGTGCTCCTGGATGTTTGAGTTGCAGAGGACAGGATAGGGTACCTGGAGTCCTGATGGAAACTCCAATGTGCTCCTCAGGGCACTGCAGCCCTATTTATGCGCAGATTCTGAAGGGGCTTGGCTGTGAAGATGATGTTGGGGCAATTTGTGCTTTATGGGCTTGGGTGGTTAGCCAGGTCCAACGCCTCTCTAGACTGTGCTTTAATGGTGGAGTGGCCTGCACCCTCTTCTTTGTAAAGGATGTCAGCCTTGGGCTCTAGGGGGAGTCAGCATGTTTCATCTTCAAAGTGTCTTGCCAGCAGGGCACTCCTTCATCTGTAGGTATTGGGGAGGGAAGGGGAAGGCAGAGGAGAGGAAGAGAAGGAGGAGCAGGGCCTGGGGAGGGGAGGAGAAGGGAGGCCAGGTGCTGGGAGAAACTGGAACGAGGAGACCTGTGTGTTAAGTGTGATGTGGGGAGAGGGGTTTCAGGAAAGGCTGAGGCATTCATAAACCCTCCCTTATTTCCATCCCAGCTGTGGCTCAAGTGCTCCTGAAACACAAATCTGGATTTCCCCGTCTCCAGATTTTTCAGTTGGCAGCTGAAAACCATCTCACTTTCCTACCATGGGAACAATCAGCAGATTATGAAATATTTGTCTTTTATCTTTCTTATGATGAGAACTTTGAAACATTGAGAAAAATTGGAATAATACAACATGCATGTATTGATGCTCCACCTGGTTACCTCAATTCAACAGTTAACATTATACCGTATTTGCTTTCGCAGTTGCCCAATTATCTGAGTGGCAGAAAGCACGGCATGTAACCCTTAAATACATTAGTAGGAATTTCTTAAGAATAAGGAGAGTACTATTTTCTTATGCAGGAAAACTAGCAATAATTCCAAAGCACCACTTACTATTCATCTCAGATTTAATTTTCCTAACTGTCCTAAGAACTTTAAAACTAGATTTTACATAATTTAATTTGTGGCTCTCGCCCTTGTATTTTCTATAAACTGGAAATTAAATCTTGAGCTGGGATGTCCAATTTGGTAGACAACAGGCAGATGTGGCTACTTTAAGTTAGTAAAAATTAAATAAGTTAAAAATCTAGTTACTCAGTTGCACAATCCACATTTTGAGACCTCAGCATCTACCTGTAAGTGGTGCCTACCTTACTAGACAGTGCAAATAAAGAACACTTCTTTATTATTTATTTTTATTTGATTTATTATTTATTTTCACATAAAATTCTGTTGGACAGCACTGGGCTAGAGGCTCGATTAGGTTTAAATTAAACATTGTTGGGTAGAATACCTCATAAAAGATGCTGTATAACTCTTATTATGTCACCCTAGGAAGCACGAAATATCAGATTGGTGATGCTAAATTGAATCACAGCTGGACGCAGTGGCTCACACCTGTCATCCCAGCACTTTGGGAGGCCAAGGCGGGTGGATCACCTGAGGTCAGGAGTTCAAGACCAGCCGCAGTGGAGGAATTTAAGACCAGAGATGGTGAAATCCCGTCTCTACTACAAATGCAAAAATTAACCCAGTATGGTGGGATGTGCTTGTATTCCCAGCTACTCGGGAGGCTGAGGCAGGAGAATCTCTTGAACCCGGGAGATGGAGGTTGGATCACTTGAGTACATTTCCCCCTGTATTTGGAAAAACTGTGTAGAGAATTAGAATTATAAAGAACTGTGTAGAGAAACATAGATCCTGGTTTGATAAGAATATGTTTCTTTTCAATTGATCACCTACTATGTGATCATCATTATATATCATAAATGATCTCTAATTCTCACATCAATCATATGAAGTATGTACCATTATCCCCATTTTACAGATGAGGAAACCAAGGGTCAGGGTGGTTAAATAACTTGCCCAAAGTCTCCCAGCTGGTAAGTGACAGAGCCAGGAGTTGCAATGCCTTCTTACCTATAAGCTGTGACAACCCCTCGACTTCCTAATCCTTGGATAAGTTCAAGAGGGTAGTGAAAGTTGTTTACAGGGGAATATCTGTGAATTTAGGGTGTGGGAGAATCTATCTAAGGAAGACAGGCAGAGTCAGAGTGGGTTGGGATGGTTAGAACCATGAGGGGCCCTTTAGGGACATGTGGCACATGGCGATGTGAGGCTATTTAGGGGCTGGGAAGGAGTATGAGGTAGATGTGCAGCACTCTGTGGCTAAGAATTGAAGGACGGGATGGAAAACATCAGTTTTAGTTATTTGCATACCTCTGGTATATGACAATACTTTGATAGATTGTACTATGTTCTACTTACCCAATGAACCACCCCCACTCCAATAGAACAGGTCCTAGAAAAATTAGCTCATAAAGTACAGAGGTTTGCATTAAATTGAGGAGAAGAAAAGGGAAGTGAAATGACCTGGCTTGTAGCCCCCTGGAGCTGCTGTGCTTCAAGGGCAAAGGCAGAAAGAGTAGCCTTAGGGAATGAGAACAGGTAGGATTGATGGAAAAAGAGAGAAGAAAAAAATAGAAGAGAGTAGGGCTCAGGGTATTTGTGCAAAACATTCAGAGTGTGGCCTTGTGACAGGACAAATGTGGGAGGTCACAGATGGTGTTGAGCTATCTGGTCACCCTAGAGAAGAGTATGGCACTGCTATTCCTTTGTGAGTTCAGGGCAGCTGGGCCAGCACTTCTGAAGCTCTTTGTACCCTCATCTGCAATTCTGGGCACTGCCCACAATTGCGCAGTGATGTCCCCAGCAAAGCAGCGGTTGGATGTCCTGAAGAGCACTATGAGTCAAAGTACATCTCATCCACACTTCACCTTTTCTACCAGTATAACTCCTTATAAAAACAGCATGTATAAACACAAGCTAATTATTAATGGCTGGTCCTTACTAAGCAATTTTAAAGATGTAAGAAGCAATTTAAAACAAGGTATGAAAAATGCAAACGTTGACACCATTTCATTGAACTTCAGGAATTAATTGCTGCTAATTTTTGAAGACCTAAAAAGACATTCAACTTGTTTTCTTCAGAGAAAAAAAACCTTGTCATGGGGAAGGTAGGAGGGGAGGGAAGATGGCAGAGAGGAGGGGAGGGAAGATGGCAGAGAGGAGGGGAGGGAAGATGGCAGAATCTCCACTCTATGGTCTTGGCTCTGGCAAGGTAAAGAGGAAAGATTTTAACTTTATGGAGGTAACAATTATTTTTATTGTGAAATATTTCAACACAAAAGAATGTATAGGTGGTTAGATCTGTACCAATACCTACCACTTACAGGAAAAAATAGAACATGTATGTATTTCAGGAGCTTCCTATGTACCTCGTTCTGATTGTACCCTACTCCTTCCTGGCCTAGGGTGACTCTTCTCCTGCATTCTGTGTTTAATTATTCCCTTGCTTTTCTTACAGTTTTAAAACCAATGTACCCATCTTGCAATGACATATTGTTTCTTCTTCCAGCTTTTGAACTTCACATAAATGGACTCATGTTGTATGGATCCTTGTGCACCTGGTTTCTTCCATTAAATGCTGCTTCCTGTAGCTGTCCTGTGATCATTTTCACTGTGGATTTCACTCATTGCATGGCTATACCACAGTTTATTTGCCTTTCTACCTCAATAACCGCACGGTTGTTTTCAGAGTTCTGTAGATCGAGCAGAGCTGCTATGAACATCCCTTCCCATGTCTTCTGGTATATTTGTGCAAGAGTTTTTCTGGGGTATGTGGCTATTTTTTTTTAAAGTTATGTAACTAGTAGGTGTTTCATGTAGAAAACTATTTTATGACTATTCTTCCAAACTTAATAATAACATCTTTTGATGTTCATCTTACACCATGCTAGATACTATTTTAAGAGTCCAACATGCATTAACTCATTTAATTTTTACAGTTACCCTTTGAGGTTGGTGTTATTATTCTCATTTTATAGATGAGGACACTGAGGTCTAGGGAGGTTAAGGCTCAGGTTGTGTGTTAGTAGAAGAGCTTGCACCCAGAGCCTGTGTGTCTGATCCCAAAGGAAGGGATGCGTTTATCCCATTGCGCTCCCTTCTGTACTCCATCAACCATCAGTAATAAGTATCACACAGTAGCTGGTGTTTGTACATAACATACAAACACAAATACTCATCTTGCCCCATGCCCTCTGCAGGGCCATGGAGGTTGCTCTCAGGGTTCAGGGCCAGAGGGTATAGGAGAGCTCACCCTTGTTCTTGGCGAGCTTCCAGTATTAAGAGAAAAGCTGGACACATACCCAGATCATGAAAAAAAATGCAAACCCTGCAACACATCAATATGCACAAAAGTTTTCTTTGTGGATATATTCCAAGGGCTTGGCACATAGTAGGTGCTCAATAAATATTTGTTGAATGAATGAAAAGAATACCAGCTGCATATTAAGTGCTAAGTAATGGAGCCATCAAAGCTTGGTGGTTTATTGTGCAAAGCTATGTGGTAGGATAGGGTGGGGACACAAGAAGCAGATGATGTGGTCATTCCTGGGGGTGGGGGTGGAGAGAGGTGACCTTCCTTGCTGGGGCCTGAAGGAAGAATGAAATGAGTGAGATGTGTCCTTAACCCAAGCAAAGTCCTTGGCTTGGGTTATAAGCGGGTGGTAGGGAAAGTCAGTCAATGAGAGCAAGGATCTTGAAGGCCTTGGGGCAGACTAGAGACCAGAGGCCAGATTGGAGAAGGAAAGAGAAAAGTGAATCAGAGGAGATTTCTAGGAAAAGAGGCAGAAATAAATACTTGGTCTTAGACTATTATTTTCAAGGGCAACTTAGAAGAAGAGAAGGAGAGTGCTGCATGGGTGGAGAAGAAAATGAGGGAGAGATCTTGGGCGATAGTCAGCAAGAGGAGGAAACTGGAGGACAGTGGAGGAAAAGTGGGAGAAGATCTGGGGAGTATGGTGGAGGGGTCACTCCAGGGATGAAAGAGCAGAGGAGGAGGTGGATGGGGGAAGCAGCACAGCACCAAGGAGAAGTGTGTGTAGACCCACTGGAAGAGGTGGGCACCATAGCTCCAGATTTATAGTAATG